TCCCAAACTTTAACCAATCAATTTCTTTCACTGTTTTTATCTTTCCTACTTTTCCACACGCTTTTCTTTCTTGCCCCACTTTTTTGAAAAAACTTTTTAACTTTTTTAAAGTAGGCAAGTGTGGGCGTAGACTAGGACTTCAATCTCATTGGAAATTCCTTTTTAAAAACAGCCTTATTATGCTATTCGTTTTCTCTTCATTTTTTTTAGACCCATATACTGCAAAACTATTCTACCCTTTAACAAGAAATTAGTTTCCCTATTATGTTTAATACTATAAGATGCTACGTGAACCCTTCATGACATGGAAAACTTTAATGAATTAATTATAGTAACATAGTTTAACACTTCACTACAAGATAATAGACATTTTATTATTGTAGAATTGATCACAAAAATTTAAATTTTAGACAAAATTTTAATTTATGATGAAAAATACGAGTATTTATAATCAAATTTTCCTCACAAAATATCTATTTTTGTGTAGTACTTGACATACAAACCATGTGAACATCATCGATTTAAACTTTAGAGGAGCCTTAGTTCTAAGTTCTACTAAACAATTATGTTTAAGTTATGTAATTATTCTATGTGATTTAGTCAGGAGGCCGTCCCAAAACAAGTTAGGACGCATGGCCAAGGCCAGACCGCCAGAGCCCCTTTGTTGAACCTTTTTGTTTTTTTTTTTTTTCTTTATCATTATGGAAATGAGATTTAAAAAAATAATTAGTAAATATTTAGTTTAACATAATTTTTTGATATTTTTTACTTTAACTATTAAAATATAATATAAATACAGTTCAATTCAACTAATTCTTACATTTTATATGCATGATTACATTTTTTAATATGTATTATGTAGTATATTGAACCAAAATGTGTACCAATTAGTGTCCTTGGAATTATCAAGATCTATTGTATATAAATTACTTTATTCTTCAAAAAAATATTATGCAATTTAAATTACATAATAAAAACAATTAGATAAAAGGGTTGACTCCATTATATTGGACCCTCCCCATCCAACTAAGCAATGTACAGATGACCACATGACACATTTTTGAAGATGTAGACTTAAAATGCCTACAAGGTACAAGTCTTAAGTTTGCGCTCTAATGTGAAATGCACAATGCAGCACTTTAGATATCAAGCTATGCAAAGAAACATTGAGATATAAGGTCAAGCGGTACAGAACTGGGATGCAACCTGAGATATCATCTGAACATTGACTCCATTTGTCTGAAGAACGCAGAATGCCTGCTGTGATCACATTCAACTATCAATTAAAGAATATCAAAACTGAAGATTCACACTCAAAAACAAGTTAGATTCGCTTAAAAGATTTTGAAAGCTCGAAGCTATAGGGAAGCTGAAGCCACTAAGTATGAAGGTAAATATAAATAATAACAAGAAAAATTTTGCACACAGCCAGTAACCCCAAAAAACATCAAGCAAGTCAGTTTCTAAACATCAAACATCACCTTCTCCAGTATTAGAGACGACCTCTGGACATTTCCAATTAGAGAAATAATGCGTCGATGCTGAAGCAGATTGATGACTGCAATTTTCTCGAGTTCCTCAACAACATGGTCGAGTTCCTGCAAGTCACAACATAAACAGCTGAAGAGACTCAGACTCAGAAGAATTCATCTGAAAGCCAACTGTTTTAGTAACACACGGTGTACATCAAAGTTTGGTACCACAACTTGCCTGTTGAATTAGCTCTCTGCTCCAAATTTTTTATGGATCCAACGTCGAGGAAATACTAACTTCACTGGTAGCTACAACATCCACTGAGATGCCCAGATCTTCAAAGATTGAACATACCTGCATGGGTGAAAACATACACATCAATTCAGCTACTGACCAAGAAGACAAGTGCGGAACTAGAATACACCCTTTCTGACCTTTGCAAGGAAGCCATACTTACCAAGTATGCAAGTGCTGACAACGTCCAACATTGCAAGATTCCTTTTCGAAACAATGCTAGTAAGCACTGATTGCCACGAGTAAAAGAACCATTAATGTACAGTGGATTCCTTTACATCGCATTATGCAAACAATCAGCTATTACAAACCTCACTCATATCTCCATCTCTTGTGATAAGAGTTCCCGGTGCAGTAGGGTTGTAAGAATTCTTAACCTTGACGGGAATATCACCCTCCATAGCTGGTCTCATGGATGGTGGATGCAGGACCTGTAGAAAAGCAATGTCAAATTCAACTTCAGTTATTTTGCCAGGTTTAAACAATTACGTAACAGTAGGCCAAATGCACCCTATTCAAGTTTGGGCCAAAACAGAAAAGGTTTCTTTCAGGAAGACAATTAGAAGGTAGGAAGAGGAATGCGAGAGGGAGATGCCCAGAATCCAAAAAATACAAGCCAAAGGGAATACTAGGTGGTTTTGTAAATGAATGAAAAACCAATAAAAAAAAAATACCATTGATAATTTGATACCTAAGCACCACAGTAAGCAAGTTCAGCTGCCTCTTCAAACGTCAAATAGGGGACAGGTTCTGCACGTGGGTTTATATTAGGATCACAGGTCAAGACACCGTCCACATCCTTCCATACCTATAAGAAAACCGTAATTTTGGTGAAAAAAGGTAGTTATCCTACAATCAAATTTGTCCAGAGAATCTCAACTCAATAGGACATCATTGTTCCACAAACTTTAAAAAAGATTAACTTGTAAATATTTATATGCCTATTGTGCATCTGAATAAAGAGATACACATTTAATCATGAAAAAAGGGTATTAGAGAAGAAATAAAAATTCCTATATACGCATGCTGAACTGCATCAAGTGTTCGCAATTAACACAAAAAAACTAATCACCTGAATCTCTTGCAAGCCTAATGCTTTCCCAATAGTTGTCGCTATCAAATCACTACCACCCCTACCGAATGTAGTAATTACAGAAGATCTCCAGCCCTACAATCAGAAGTTCACTGTCTATAAGACATTGCTGCATGGCTCTTAACAAAATCTTGTTCAAATTTAAATCATTGCAAAAAGCTAACTGCAGCTGTTCAGTAGGACCTTTCCCAGGAAACCAGTGGCAACCGGAATTGCAGGATCACTGAACCAAGCATCGTTTAACCTTTTTGCCACAGCTGCATAGGTTGCTTCGAGAATATCAACATTTGTGAAGTCGTCTGTGGTAATAAAACCAATATCGAAGGCATCATATTGCAAAAGAATGAACAAAATTATAATCTGAAACCATTAAGACGGTAGTCACAAGGAAACACAATGAAGGCAATACCATAATTGAATCTTCTGTAAGAAATCTAAGAATTCAAATGACTTACATTTGGATCAAAGAAACTGTTTTAGGAACAGGGTAGAGCACAGCTATCCATGTTAAAACATTTTCTTGAAAAACTAAATTCCTAATGTTCACCAGCATGGCAAGAAAAGGCATGTATATTTAGTTATAGGATATAGAGAGGACAAGCAACATACTTGGCGGGCTTTAACTCCAATTTTATTCAAATATGTAGCAAAAATCCTTGTTGACTTGCACTCCCCAAAAGAAACTAAGTAGTCTTGCGTTCGTAAGGTTAACTCTTTCATCATAGCAATTCCCTTTAGAAGCTGTTCCAATCTTCCTATGGGCGGTTCAGATCAGAGCTAATATTCCAGTCCATCAGATGGTGAAGATGGGGACTGATTAACCAAACAAATCCACTGGTTCTGCCTGTAAACATACATACTAGGAGTCTGTTTGGGAAAGCTTCAACAATCATTTGCTTAAAAATATATCAATACAAGATAACAGTAATACTGCTGCATGAATTTCACAATCAAAATTTGAAATAGCAGATCAGATTAATCTTTGCTAAACTTAACCCAATATTTAAGTCAGCAAATGCCATTGCACAACAACCACAAACTTCATATATTTATCTAAACCATAAAAGTTACAGAAACATTAACAATGAATAACTGTGAATGTTCTTCAACTTCATATATTTATCTTTTTCAACTTTTTCAATATTTCCATACTAAAATTCAGATTTCAATTGCTATTCACCAATTATAAGAACCATCAATCTTCAAACCAAGAAAGCAAACCTTCAATGGCCACAGTGTAGTTATAGAAGTCTCTGCCATTGAGAAGAATTCAGATAGACCTAAAAGTATGGTCAGAATCATACCTTGCTCTTTGAAAATCTTAAGAACCATGGAAACCTTAGGCCACGCATTTCTCAACAACAATGCCCACTGCTCAATCACTCCGTACCCTACATTCACCACTCCCTCCACCACAAACACTCTCTTGTACGCGAAAACGAAAAGACAACGAAGCATTGCTCCAGTAAAGACTCCCCGCTTTAGCAAAATCTTCAGAGACTCCAAATCCAGGCCGAAAACCTCACCGTGGTCACCACCCAGATCATTGTTTTCTTCACTTAACGATCTCAGATAAGCTCCATTGCCAACAATGCCAGGTCCCCGCAATCACAAACTGTAAATTCCACCAAAAATGGACGGATTGAAACAACTGGAGACTAAACGACATGGGAAGTGATTACTTCTGGACGAAAATTTTATTGAGCATTTCAAATTTGATTGTGTTGCACGAAAGAGGAACACTTGGATTCAGAAATGAAGGAGGATCGATTGATAACAGCGGATTCAGGTGCCAAAACCCCCAGAATAGTTATAGCCAAAGGAAAATGTTAAAAACTTCAAAAAAAAAAAAAAAACCAAAATTGTATTCCCTTTCTCAGTCCTACTCCC